TTGCGCATGCTTAAAGGCAAGTCGACGCAGCTGCTCAAAAAAGAGGATGTGATAGTGCATTGGGACGCCCCTGAACTATTGATTCTGCAGGCCAAGATTTTGAACAAGCTGTTTCTCATCATTTCTGGACATGCACCGCATGTAAGTCGACCGGAATGCGAGCATGTCTCATGGTGGAATGATTTGATTACCAAAACTCGCGGAGCTTTTCTCCCCGGACAGCATACCCTGGTTTGTGGTCTGGATGCCAATACGCACTTTGCACAGACTATGCCACCGCATGTGGGGGAGTTTGAACTGGAAAGCAAGTCCAGCTACTCCTCGAAGCTCTTCTTGCAGTTTTTACAGGAGTTTTGCCTGTATCTGCCATCCACGTGGCATGATTGTCAGGTGGGATCCTCCATCACCTGGACTAGAGGAGATGGAAAAGTTTCAGCGAGATGTGACTACGTGGCATTCCCCTTGGATTGGAGATCCTCTCGTCAATGGAGCACTTTGCTGCCGAGCTTGGATGCTGGGACTCTTGAGATGGACCATTCACCGCTGGCAGTATGGGCGCATCTGATCTATCCGAAAACAAAAAAGAGACAGTTGCCACAATTTGATCGACAGAAGATCATGCATATGACGCAGGAGGACACTCAAGATTTGCAAGTGCATCTACCAACTATCCCATGGCAGGTCAATGTGCACAACCATGCTATGCGACTGACCAAAGCAGTTTCTGCGTGGTTGGAAAGACGTTTTCCTGCAGCCAGACACCCACCTCGGGCAACCTTCATTTCGGCTGCTACTTGGAGCATTCGGGAGGAAAGGCTGGGATTACAGCGACGCTTGAGAATGTTGCACCGGGCAGAAGCAACCTATGACCTGAGCATTGCTTTTTTGGCCTGGGCAAGAGACATGGTGCTGACCGAAGCACATGATCAACTCTGGCCGCTTAGATGGCACACAGTTATGGGGCTCCGACACACAGCTGAAGCTTTGCGGAGCACACGGAACACTTTGCGACAGGCTTTACGCACTGATCGAACGGCTTATGTCCACGAGGTGGCCAACAAAGCTGTGACTGGCCTCCCAAATGATTTTCATCGAACCCTACAAAAAGTTGGGGTCTGCGGGAGACGCAAACAGAGAGGGACTCTCCCATTACCCAAGCTACAAAATGGAGCTGGTGAACACATCACATCATACGAAGCTTGGGCTGAACGATGGAGGGAATTCTTCCAAGAACAGGAAGGTGGTGCACCAATTGAATTTGATGAACTGGTTGCCAATTGCAAGGTTGAGGCGGAACCTTGTGTCGTTGACTGGTCGCATCTGCCTACGTTGACACAGTTAGAGGCTGTGCTCAGACGGACGACCCCTGGTAGAGCGTACTTTGATGACCTCATTCCTGGGGAGGTTCTGAGGAAAGCTGCTGGGGCACTTGCAACTGTCTGTTTTCCCCTTCTTCTGAAGCATACCTTGACTGCAACAGAACCCCTATTATACAAAGGCGGCTTGTTGGTGGCGGCCTACAAGGGCAAAGGACCCTCCGATGACTGCGCGTCTTATCGCAGTTTGCTGGTCTCGTCTACTTTGGGCAAGGCACATCACAGGCTTTTTCGGTCTGCGCTCATGGAAAAGTTTGAGCCATATGCCATGCCTCATCAACTTGGAGGTAGACCTAAACAGTCGGTGGGTCTGGCAGCATTGGGGTTGCACCTCTTCTTGGACAATCGTGCGAAAGCAAAAATCTCTACGGGTGTGATTTTTATCGACATCCAAAACGCTTTTTATAGAGTCGTTCGGCAACACGCTATTCCTGGGTTGCAATCACCTGCTGGATTGTGTGCCTTTTTTGACAAGCTGGGAATTGGGCATTCTGCCTATCAGGATTTCCTGGCCTTGATTGAATCTCCTGCTGCCTTTGATGATGCAGATGTTCCAGAACAGTTGAAACGCATCTATCAGGATGCCTTCGATAATACCTGGTACTGTGTACGGGGCACTAAAACACTGACGGCCACCACCCAAGGTACCCGACCAGGGGATTCATATGCTGACCTGGTCTTTGGCTTTGTGCTGACGCGGATCCTTCGTATTGTTCAAGACAAGATGAAGTCGTATGGCTTGTTGGTGCAAATCCCTTGGACTGGATGCCCTTCACCACAAGCAGGAGAGCAACAGCGACTGCAAGAGTATCTTGGGCCCATTTGGGCAGACGATATTGCAGTTGTGCAACAAGGGGACACACCATTGGACCTCACCCAGCGTATTTCTAAGACTGCGGGCCTCCTGATGGACATGCTTGCTTGTTTTGGGATGTCGCCGAATATGGCGAAGGGAAAGAGTGAGGTGCTGTTGCAACTGCGAGGATGTGGTAGCCAACGACTCAAGAAGGCACTTGTGCAAAACGATCAGAAACTCCAGACAGTAGCGCAAGCTGCTGCAGATGAGATTGCTTTGGTCGGACGATACAAGCACTTGGGTCTGTGGTTGACTGAGAACAACTCACCACTACTGGACTTGAAGTCTCGTTTTGCCATTGCACATGCAAGACTTGGTCAGTTTCGCGTGGCAATCTTCGGGAACAAGGCCTTGCCTCTGAGAAAGAAGGCGCTACTTTTTGACTCACTGATCCTATCAGCTGTTTTCTGTAATGTGGCAGCCTGGGCTCCCTTCACTACGGCAGTCAATGTTGCTTGGGGTCGCAAGTTAGGTGGTTTGTATAGAAGATTTGCGATGATTCACGCAGGTTTGGCTGTCAGAGAATGGACGGATCAGCGGTTGCAGCAAGAAATGGGATTTGTCCCGCCCATGGTTCTGCTGCGTTCCATTCGCCTACGATTTTTAGCACATGTAGTGGGGGCAGCAAATGATGCTACCTGGGCATTGCTACAGCTTGGCACTTCATGGTGGCACCAAGCACAAGCAGATGTTGATTGGCTCCAATCTCAACGACGTTTTCCGCTGGGAATGGGGAGACTGATTGAGGACTGGCCTTCCTGGTTGCAATATATTGGATCTTCCCCCACTAGGTGGAAAAAGTTGATTTCCCGTGCTGTTCAGCATACAGTGGAACAGGCCTCTTTGGTGCATCGGTGGGATGAATGGCATGATGCAATCGCCACGGACTTTCACCAGATGTGTGAAACCACGGGACCTGAAATCCTTGCCCTGGCCACATCCCAACATGGATGTATTCGTTGCCAGCAGTACTTCCAAACCAAAGCAGGCTGGAGTGTTCATGCGTTTAAAGTCCATGGGAGAACCACTATGGGCCGACGTGTGGCTGTTGGATCTCAATGCCCCAGCTGCCTGAAGCAGTATGCCTCGCATGTGGCGCTTATCCATCACCTCAACTACCAGGCCAGATGTCGTAATTCTGCGCTTTGCCGGGGTTGGACTGCGGATTTGGAGCCGGGCATGAATAGTGTCATTGCGGGACAACAGAGACCTGCTTTTTGGAAGCCCCCAATTCAAGCAGAAGGTCCAGTTTTGCCACCGGGTCTTCCTCATGATGAGCTGCCTATGGTGGAGGCCGAAACTGAACTCTGCACCTCATGGACCTGTGCAATTGCGCAGATCTCCAGCCATTCGAGTGTTGATATCACTGTCTCTGCCCTCAAAGAGGCTACCATGCAGACGGTGTTGCACGTGGATGAGATCAAACAACTTTTCACACAGTGGAGTGCTCGATGTCATGCGAACTGTGCTCCATCCCATTGGGAACAAGTGCATCAGGTATTTTTGACGTCAGCAACCGCTACATGGTTTATTGCCGAGAAGCTGGGAAGTAGGCCCCGCCTGTCCTTTGATGGAGTCTGGGAGAGATGGTGCCAAGACTTGCCAAAGCTACCAGATGTGCCTAGGGTCTTAAAGTACAGGCCAGTTCTCATGGCGCATATATTTTCCGGGCATCGGCGTGAAGGTGACTTACAGTCCTTCCTCGAAGATCTTCAAGTTCCAGAGCCACACTGTGTTCGGGTGCTGAGTGTGGACATTGTGTTCTCGGAGTCCTGGGGGAACTTGTTATGTCCAACAACCTTCAATAAGTTCAAAGATGCCATTCGTTGTGGACTACTGCGCATTGTTTGTGCAGGACCTCCATGCGAGACGTGGAGCAGAGCACGCTCCCATGGATGTGAAGATGGAGGCCCACTTCCTGTACGGGATGCCACCCACCTTCGAGGCCTACCAGAGCTTCGCTTGAGGGAGGTCCGACAAGTCTCGACAGGGAATGATTTGCTGGGTGTTGCAATTCGTTTTGCGGCCAATATGCTGATCAGCAAAGGTTTCTTCTTGTTGGAACATCCAAAGGATCTGGGAGGTGAACAGCCTTCGATTTGGCGGCTGGCTGTGATCAAGCTGCTCCTTGCTTTTCCGAATGTCCGCCTTTGTCATGTACAGCAGGGCCTGTTCGGTGCACAGTCGGCAAAACCGACCACTTTTCTGATTGTGAACCCACCGCCCAATGCTGATGGCATTTTAGCAAAGTTTCGCACGCGAGATGTGGTGCCCCAGACGGTATCCATTGGTCGTGTGAACGGACAATGGAGAACGGCGGCATTGAAGGCCTACCCGGCTGCACTTTGCAGAGCAATTGCGGCTGTGGTACAGGGCTACCTGGAGGAGATGGAGCCGTCACTTGCTCCCCTCGATGCTCCTGCGGACTTTGAAGAGTTTGCGGAGCTGTGTGTGCCGCCCGTCGGGGCCCAAATGGGCCCCGACTACCACCCGACCAATTTGGTGCATGTACAGGCTCCTGGCTAGACCAAAGGCCGTTGAAGTGAAAAAAAAACACTCTCACGATTTTGTCACGGATGGGGGAACATGGGTTTGTAATTTGTAATCAGCATGTTCTTGTAAGTGTTAATTTTAACGTCAAAAAATCAAACAAGTGTTCTTCGAGAAGGACAGTAGAACCTGAAACGACATGCGCAAGAAAGCCACAATCATTGATCGTCATCCTCAAATCACGCCCTTGTGAACTACCACCAATTTCGCCACGACGCCACCAGCACAAAGGCTGTGTCTGGTAAGGCTTCATGAAAAATGAGCTGCAAGCCATCGGCAAAGGCGGCTCGAGGAACGCCTATCGGCAATATCAGCAAGACTATGCCACGACATACGTATCACGACTAACATCATGTCGCCATGTCTGCCATTGCACAATGCATATCTTCAACAGATGTCTAAAGGCATTCTTGCACAACATGTGTGCGTCTGTCCTATCCGAATCCGTCGGGCTGGGTGATCAAGAAGTCTTACATATATATATATATACACATACAAGATTATATATAAGTACCTTTCTGTTTGAACCCTCTAGAGTCTAGTAAAGTAGAGGATGATGACCATACAAGCTCAGCATAGAGACAAACCGTGCACAATCACAGCGCGTGGTGTGAGCCACGAAAGCGCACCTTCAATGGTTGCCTCTGCTGCGGCCTTCCTCTTGGTTCGGGGCAAAGCTAGAAGGGCTGCCTGAAGCTTTCAAGCGACATGAACAAAATACATAATCGCCGGGCCCCCATGTCTCGTGTGGGCCCCCTCTAGCCCATTGTTTCGGAGGCAAACCTGAGACCTGGGACAAACCTGATAACATATGCAACCTCAGCGCGAAAGACTTGCTTCGTGAGAATGCTGCATCACAAGCCAGAGTCAAATCAAACTTCCAAGTCGGTCTCAACATGGATTCACATTTGTCTTTGCCTTAGCCACATAGCCATTGGTAGCTCTGGTCTTAGCTTTTGGCTTCTGGTCTTCTTGCCTCATCTGTCAAATGAGGTCGTATTACAAGCAACTTGCACGGCTGCTTCCGGCTCTTCTGTGCAAACCTTGTTGCAACTCCATCACAAATCGCCATAGGCGCCGATGTTCACCATCCGACAGCAAAGCGACAGGACGCAACAAGTTGTCGAAGTCCTGCAGTTGAATGGGAGGACTTCGGCGTCCTGTGCAAATGCCAACCAAGAAGCAGTATCAGTATGAATGAATCTGAATGGGGACACCTGTCTCAGCCTTTTTGCATCTCTGCGCGTCCTCACGGGTGAGGTTCTTCTGCTGCAGTTGAGGGACAGTGAAGGCTTGCAAAGCGTCTTGAAGCTCATGAGCCCGATTCCCCAGGCCCAGTCGGCCAAGTGCCTGACAGTCCCAGCTTGAGCAGTGAAGCTGTTCAAGAGTACCGAAATCACATTCAATCATGTGTTTCTTTGCAATCCTAATTGGCCACAAAATCATTTCACGACAAAATCCTGCTCCCGAAAACACTCATATGGATCCAACGCCGTTGATGCACATTGTGAGGCGCTGTACATGTTTCCTACCCATCCTTTCAACGAATCAACGGCCCACAAAAGAATCCGTCGACCGATACCGAACGATCACTGTCCTTGGTTAGAGCTTCGCCAGGCTCACAGCTCTCAAGTACCTGTGGGAATGGCTCAGTACAGTGGGATCTCCGTCACTATTGGTCCATTAATAATTATGAATTATGGCAAACCATGAAGTTGGGATGATACATGATGCATGTGACGAATTCTCTGTTGCCGTTTGACACAGCTTATTGCAGGAAGACTTACCGCTTTTCAGAGCCGAAGGTCACCGCGTCCGGGGCCAGGACATGAGTTGTCGTGGGTTGCGGGCAAATCATGTGAAGTTCACACCCTTCAGCAACAAACAGCAAAATGTCCCAAAAAACCTGTCTTCCTCAATCTAGCCTCCCGCTCTGGAAGCAAACTTGCTCGATTTGCAAGAGTCAGTGCCTCATCACGATGACCATGTCCATGAGTCAATGCGCAAGTCTTGACGTAATTTGTCGTACACTACTGAAACAAACACAGGCATCCCTTGCATCAATTGCGCAATTTGTGCTCATTGATTCATTGATTCCCATGGTGGTTTTGTACACTCTTGTGAAGCATCAAACGTTCTTCTCCTAAAATCCCCACTTTCTACATTTAACTTGTGATTCCAAACATCCAAATTCAAGCGGGTGTCTCGAAGCACTGTCAATCGAAATCTGGGCTCTGGATCTCCCAAATCCCAACTAAAGCGCCGTACCAAAGGATGGCTGCCTCAGCCCACCAGCATTTCGCTTTTCTCAAGAGATCTCAAGAGAGTCGTTCCGTGAGACTACTAAGTTACTAATATGTTTAGTAGGACCGCAACAAACACTCTTGCTCTTGTTCACTCTTGTTTCATTTTGCTTCAACTGTCAATCTTTACAACTCTGTCTTCAGGTTTTACAACCCCTGTGTGCGAAACCTTCACCAATTGTGTGAACGCCCAGTTGCGATTTCGCACAGCCCAAGCATTGTATGAGCCTTGGGCCTGCAACTTGCCCACAAAAGCAGCCGCTGGAGCGCATGGAATGGATTCACATGTGAAGTCTTCAAGAAACACATCGTCACAAACATATCATATGTGTGCAACATAGTATATAATATTATATAATATACACATCAAATATAGATAAAACCCTTTGGCAAAACAAGCTTCTCCATCCCTGTTTGTCATGTTGATTTGAAGGCAAATACACACTCACACTCAATGGCCCTAGGATTTTACAGTGCCTTCTACCAGTACTGAGTGTACAGTGCAGATTTCTGGTGGGAGGGTATGTGTCCAAATTGAAAACATAGGCCAGTGCTACTCGGAGAACCAAGCGAATGAAGGGCCGTGCAAAGTTACAAGTCAGGTACTCCATCTTGACATTCTGAAGAGGTGTCCATCCCCATCCGAATCTGCGATCCTCGACTCCTTCAAGCACCTCCAGCATTACTTTGCCTGGCTCAGTGCCCAAATGGGTACAAATGGTGACGTGTTGAGATTGAACAGTCTCATATGTTGAGATTTGGAACACCCATCAACCTTTGCATCAATCTCGAATTCTACTCCAAACCGTAGCAGCCGAGTCATCCGGAATATGAAATCGATGCAATCAAATTTTGTCTCCACTACCATACCGATGGTCAGCCATGGTGCTTTGCATTTTTCTTTTGGGCGACGAAGCTCACGCCATCGAATTCTAAGCGCTTCAAAAGCCTTCCAGAAACTCACTCCGGCCTTTTTCAAACAGGTCCAAGATCTGCTGGGGGTCCAAATTGCAGGAATCTGGATACTCTTCAGCTTTGGACAGCGAAGCCTAGTCAAATGAGGAAAGTCAGCTCTTTTTGTGCGCCATGACGATCACCGACGACAGGCTCAAAAGACTTCCCGCAGTCTGTTTTTGGACCCCGCCTCCAGGCGCGTTTGCCGTCGCCGCGCTTGGTCCACCACTGAAGACTTCATCCAAAGGTTTGGTTCGGCACCTCGCGTCAGAAGGTACACCAAGATGTCGACCCTGAGCAAGCACCATGGGTCAACAACCCCAACCGCCAAAGCGAGGCATTGTGAAAGAATGCATTGACATGGATGAAGATTCCAACGCAAATTCAAAACACCAAAGTTTAAAGAAAGGGCCGAGACGGCCCCGGTGGGATATGCTGCTGTGGTCGGATGCGGCGGAGATAAGCTGGTACTTTTTTCAACACGTGGCTTTGCCTATCAAATATCAGTTGGCAATACTGCTCCATGAAAGCCACTGCACATATGAACATCCTGAAACAGTGCAACAACAGCATCAAATGCTCATAAAATCGAACCCTTTTGCTGATCTCAGAATTTCATGGTGCATTCCTATGGAGTCCTTACTTGAGGTGCAAATGGCTCCCACAGTTCCATTCTGCAGGCGAGGAGCTGTCCCCAAACCACTGCCATTTGCAAGGGTGTGTAGCCCTTGCAATCAGAATTCAAGGTCTTCACCCCCACCTCATCCACGAGGAAACGCAGAGTGGTGATGTTTCCAGTCATCACTGCATTGTTCCTTGGCTCTTCCATCTCTGTACTTTTGGCACTTTCCCACTCACTCCTGCTCTGGCTGCTAGCTGCTAGCCATAGATAAATAATATATATAGAGTTTACACTAGAGTTTACGTACATACCTTCGCAGGCTCACTGTAACACTGTAGCAAGGCAACCTCAACCAGGTCAATGTGTTCTCTGACAGCCATGGGGCAAGTTGATTTGAGCAGGCCAGGAGGCTCCCTAAGCTAGGAGAGCTTCACAAAGGGTCCAAAGCCTACTGACTGTGGTCTGAAGCATGTCCAACTAATCCTCCTTAGAGCAAATTCTGTTTCCTAGTGGTTCAAAGTGACGAACTAAATCGCATGCAAAACAATTGGAATTCACATTGTCCAAACGGACCTCGTTCTGTTCATACAATACCACCCATAGGGTTCCATAGGAATCCATAAGATTCTGCCCACTCTTATTGACTTTGCAAATGTCCAAGCAAGGACGCTACTGGGGGCTCCTGGCCGTACTACTAGGAGCAATGTTCGCTACTAGTAACAAGAAGCTACCTGAGCTTCCGACCGAGGCGAAGCCCTCTTCTACTGCACCTCGGGACCATTCCAGACATGGGAAGCCCGAAGTTGAAAACAACCTAAATAATAGCAATGGCCTGAAACCTAATAGCGATAACAAAGCATGGAGTGGTAATGAGCTGTGTAGTGGGATCCCGTGATCAAAATCGAATGGCCAATCAGCTAATCTATCCTTTATCATTAATCATCTATCATCAAGTTCCACGAAAGAATTTAATGACGCTCCGCCTGCCTTTCAATTAGCATCAATTAGCTATGGCTCAACACATTGCGAACAGACCTGCAACAAAGATGATCAAACATGACAAAATTGGAGGAACAGGATGAAGGTAGATATGACAAGCATGTTCTCCACATGGGATGGAAAATAAGAATTGCCGAATTGCAGGCAAGCCTCGTTGCAGTTGCTTATAACCTTGCAAGCCACGACCCGTGAGATAGTGGATCTCCTCCCGTCGTTGTCCAATGCGCTCGGTCCGTTCCCCTATGCTCGTTGCAACTCCAGACTTGCCACAACCGTCGACCAGCAGTCAAAGACTAGTTTGGAAGCATTCTCATGGTCCCAATGCAACTTTATGAATTTGCGACCGCTGACCTCCGACTTTGTAAGGAGGCAATGGGAGACTGACTTGTTGCAGCCCACATCATGATGCCAACGACACTCCGTCACTCCGTCCTCCAGAATCTCATCATCCATTCTTCAACGCTCCAACGCTCACATAAGACTAGGCAAAGGCTCAGCAAGGAAGCCGAACAAATCATGGATCACAGTCTTCCAGTCTTCCAAGGCCTCCCCCTCTTGAAATCCAATTCTGACTACAATTGACTACAGTAATTGCAATGCTTACTACCCCGGAACCTCATAGAAGAGTGCGGAACCCTGTTAGAATGTGAGGGTGTGGCACCTTGGTGGGATGCTTGCGGCTATTCTAGAACCGGAGACTATGTTGACAGCATCACACTATTTGGCTCGAGCGTATGCTTGGGCCGTGAGAAGTCGCCGGATTTTGCCAAAAACAACGCCGAGGTTGCGCATGGCCAAGTGGCACTGAGAAACTACGAACTATGAATGGCTACTGTACGATCCTGGAGCATCTTCTCGAAGACAACTAAGTTGGCTTGCTGAAAGCTTGCTGGGCCAAATGAAAAGTCCAAACCATCCAGCCGCTCAATCACCTCAGCAAGAGTACAGATCAATCCCAAAGTGCTTCATTTTCCTACATCCAGGCGCACCATTTCCTACAAAAGCCAACCGGTTTATGCAAGTTTAGACAAACTGATGTTTTTGCTTGCTTATCTTACCTCAACATACTACTCGTATCGAAGATTGCAAAGCTCTGGGGAATTGATATCTCAGAACTTTGCACAAGAACCAAAGCACCAAAACGCAAATAATTAGTGTTAACCCAAGCGCATGAGCGGGTCGTTCTGCGCGATCTGGACGAACCTGCAAAAGACTGAGCATTCGTTCTGAACAGTACAAAGGGATATGTACCAAAGTGCATGGAATTGCGTGGCAAGGCGATGTTTGCAACATCTCCAATTCATAATTTGAATGAACCCATAACATCAAAAAACAGCAGCTCTGAGAAGTCACGAAAGGTGGGGAGTTGTCACGTCGTTGGAACGTTGAAACGCTGGTGCCTGTTGCCATGCTTCTGGCCGCTTGGTATGCATCGCACGCATGAGGGACGGGTCTGGGTCTCGCCAGTGCACCTGCACGGGACGGCTTCGCCATCAGTGGTCCATGCCAAGGTGTTGCCTGGTATTGGCCTTGGGATCATTTATACAGTTATACACATACAAGTTTTGATTCAAAGCCAACACCAAGCAGGGCAACAAGCGCACCCAGATCGAATGCCAAAAGGCATTGTCGCTCTCATCGCATGGCCAAAGAGCATCTAGAAGCGTTTGAAGTTGCCCACTTTCCTGCAAAAGTGCAAGAGTAAAAACTTTAGTAAACTGAGCTGAGTAATTATAAATAAATATATATATATGTATCTATCTATCTTTATATCTAATATATAACTATATACTTATATATATATTTTTGTGATTCAGAGGGATTGCAAAGAGCCGAGTCGAGTCTATGCTTTGCTACAGGTATGGTAACGTACGGTACTCCTACCATGCAACATGAATGCTTCTCATGAAAATTACTTGACTAGTATTGATTAGCCGCAATGTCCGCACTCATCAGTCGTCACCCGGCCCCACCTTCCCTTGAATGCCATTCCACACCTGAGCAATTGACATCACTGGGCAGTATACAGGCTGCAACGTAGCAATCGATCCCATCAAGCTTATTGAGATTGTGTTTCTAATGGCATTGTCCTCAAGGTTTGCGGCTGTAATTAGAGGTGAACAACTGCCGCCAAGATTCAATCACCAGCTGGACAAGACCTAGTGAATCAGGCAACCCAAACACAAACAAGTCGTGTGCACAATGCCTCGTGCGAATATCAACACGGCTTGGCCCAAAACGACATGACAAAGGCACCACTTGGGCGCTCCAAGGTGAGCTCCACATACCTCGCAGATTCCTCCTCGAAAATGCCACGTGCTGTTGCGCTGTCGTGATCAAACACTCCCACGCCCTCCGAGTTGAAGACCTTCGTAGTAGGCAACTGAAAAGGAATGTGTGATGTTTGAGTCCGGGCATCGCACAAAAAATAGTACAAGACATCACTTATGAATCTTGGGGCCATGATGCCAGCCTCCCCACACCCACACACCCACACCCCCATACCCCTCTGTCTCGCACTCTGTCTGCGCCTCCTGAAGTTGCTTGACCGCACGCATCAGGCTCGGATGGTTCACAACGCACCCAGCGAGTGGCAACACCTCATGGGAAAGGCTGGGCCGGGATGCGAAAGAGTGGCCTGTGGCCTGTGAATCCAAGAAAGAGCTCAGGGAAAGTCCCTGACTGATCAAGACAGGAAAGAACCACCACCAAACCAGCTTGGGCCCTTCAACTGGATTCGGATTGTTTGAATCCAGTTAGTCAACAGGAACATGGGATTGGCTTTTCTGAACGTCTGAAAGGGGCGGAAATGGATCTCTTTGGGATGACCAATCTCAACTTGCTTGGATCATGATCTCAGCAAACCATGAAACGGTCATGTCATCATGTCACCTGACCACTTTGGATCTCCCTGGTTTGTACCATGGTCAGGTTGATCCAAAACCCTTCTCACCTCCATCAACAGGTTGGCGTTGTTGGCACCATTGTGATGTAAATAACTGATCACTGATTAGATCTATCCACTGTAATTCTGCTGCACTGTTGGCTCAGGCCTTCCAGGTGCCTCTCTTGAAGAGGCCGATGATAACTCTCCCTTCACCAGGGCCACCAGGGCCTGGAGAATTTGACGGAATACACATCAACTATCAATGGAATCCCATCCAATCCGTCCTCTTTAGGCTTAGCACCTCGTACCTTACCGACTCAGTGTTTTCCCGTACCTTAGAACATATGTCGAAGCTCTACAAATCCAGCTGTTCATGTGAGGGCTTGTCTTGGTAAACAGGTCTTTGGGTTGGCGGGAGCTGCCTAAATTCCGTTGATCCGTTTCAAGTGGCTCCGTCTCAAAACTGCAATGTACCAAAAACATCCCAAAACATCCAATGGACCCTAAGCAAACTAAATGAGTTTGCTTCTCGCCTACTGCCATCTTGCCGCGGGTGCGATAGCCACGTGGTTCGGCTGCCCAAATCGTGGGCTCAATGTTGGCTGATTCTTTGCACCATGATGCCAAAGCTTGGGCTGCAGGATGCGATCGGAAGTAGTCCTGGACTGTGTGAAGCTGCAAGCAGCTGCACGCAGTTGCAAGACCCTAGCACAACCATTCAGGACCGGCTTTTCCTCTACCATGCGTCATGCGTCTGCTGGGATTGGACAAAGGGGATGCTTACCAGGGACCAAGAATCACTGACAACAAAAAGTTGAAGAGCAATTTATGAAACCTTCTATGTGCGCTTGAGCTTGTCAAGGTGAAACCAACTGCCCCAGAATCCAAGGTCCTCACTCGTTACGTAGGGATAAGAAGCTCCACCCCGACAACCACAGCCCCAAGAGGCGCAGGTGCTTTGTCTTTTAGGCTCCACTGACTGCCTGTCGCTTCAGGATGCAAAAGAGAGTCGAGAAGCTTGAAAGCGACCTCCGAGATTTAGATATCCAATTGCCCATAAGGTCTTGAGTGCCAAATGAAGCATTTGAATTTCAATCCGGTTTCTCCTGCTTCTTTGTTCTGTCCCACTCTCAAAGGCTAGTGCTTCGGTGACTATCGCTACTATATACTATATACAGTAGTACTAGACTAAATACAGGAATCGGGAAAACATACAAACCATCTTGCCTCACCAGCTCTTTCCATGATACGGCCGCCTTCAAACTCAGCCGTGTTCGTTTCCTCCAGATGCTGCCAGTGTATGATTTGGAAAGCTCCCTTCTGTTGCCAATTGTTCCTTCTAAAGATTAGAACACATCACATCAAAGCAACACTTGCATGATGATTTGATCAGGCTTCCAGTTAAGGCATGTCACGTGGCGTCGAACCTGTCAATGCAAATGATAAACAACCTGATGTGACCTGCAATGACCTGGAGAATCACACTAGCTCTTGAGACTGGCGAACAGGTGCCACAGCGAACCGGACCCAAACGACCCAAACCCTCCTTCTGCTGGAACAGGTGCCACAGAGTGCCAAGAATGCTGCACAGGGCTTAACCAAAATGACCTGCAAGTTGTTGTCTCGTGTTGGGCAGGTCACTTGTGTCTAATAGCTTCTTGTTATGCCAATTGTATCCAATTGTGATCTTCCAAGTACCATCGTAGGTCTGTGTTACAAGTGGCCTGGATGGGCTACACTTGTGAAGAGCTGAAAGACACGTGGTCACTTACAAGGAGCATTGCTGTGAAAAAATAGGTGAAGGTCAAGTTTGGCTTGAAGATGCTTGAAGAATCTTCATTAATCTTTTAGTAGATCTTTATTTGCATCGACAGTGACTCGACAATTGTCTGTCCAAGTTCACTAGGCTACTGAACTTCTGGGTGAGTTACAAGTAGTTACAAGTAGTAACAACATGTTACAACTCAAATCAGGACAAGAATGCTCGTATCTTATATTGTATACCTCATCAAGTCCGTCCCTCTCCGGCGGCCTTCGTGGCCTTCGCCTGTCTGGCCTCCGAGGTGCGCTGTCTGTCTGCCGGTGGATGCGGTGCACTGCGCGCCCCGCGCCAAGCATCGAGCATTGAGCGACTCGCTTTGCACCGATGTGGCGATCGGTCATGGAAGGTATCTGAAAGGTTTATTTTTTCAGCCTGGCTGCTACTAGTTACTAGGCTCCATAGGTATGTTCATAGTGTTGATATGTGGCCTGGCATGGTCCGCCCTTGTTGAGCTCATACACTTTGCTGTAGCTGTGCAACAACGGATTGATCATGCTGACGATTGGGGTGCGACAGAGTCCAAGTATTGAAACATGCCTCAGCTTCTATATCTGTCAACTGCAAGTCGGGAAACTCGCAAAAGAACAATAAACTGTATATTATAAGGGAAATAGACCCCTGAGATCCCCTGAGAGCAAACACATGCCCTTAAACTATATCGATTTCATGGATCCCAGAAGAGCCACGCTTTTCTCGCAATTTGTCTAAATCCATGGGTTTCAACACTGCTTTGGTGCTGAGTTCTCGCCCGAGGGATTCAGGGTCATCACAACCTCACTCTCAGCTCACGGGCAAAAAACACACATTAGTTTAAACATGTTTAAACATATTAAACATTGCATCCTGTTCCTGCCTCACCTAGGGCGTTCAGCCCTCGAGATGAAGCAATTTGAGAAAGTGCGTCAGATCCGAAATCACAAGCATTTTGGACTGAAGGAATTACACTAACCCTTATGGGCTATCATGTTCACTAACAAGGTTGCTAGCAAGGCCAGTTCTTGTGCTTTCGACAATCATAACGGTTGCTTCCAACCGGCAACGGCTTCTGTCATCCAAGCGGCTCGGGAGAATGACCTCAAAGCAATTTGTCTCCAAGCAACGTGGACCATTGATTTCTCAAAGCAACAGGCATCACAGCACCAGCGACTTTAATCCTTCCTTGCCCTTGCCCTGAAATGATCTCAGGTCTGGCCATTAGGCTGACAAAAGCCTCTTGCAATTGCTTTCAGCTCAACCGTCTCTTTTTGTCCTTGAAACTGCCCTGCCTTTCAAGCCAAGGGGCTTTGGCCCAAGTCTTGGACATGCTCCCAGGTGTAGTCGGCGGAGACCCCCTGAAGCACCCAAATTAGGGTCGATACAGAAATTCATGCATGACATATATATATAGTTTAATATATAATTGTACTGTAATATATATATATATATATATTAGGCATGATATGTGTATGATTACATGAATTTATATATGATATTATATGCTGAGTGATTATGAGTGTGTGTGTGTGTCACCCCCTGTATCTAAGGGTTCCTCCTCTGTAACCAAGAGGTCTGAATGCAGGGGGATCATGCTTCCAGTGACTAACCTGATCCAACGAAGCTGGGTCACTGGAAGGGAAGTGGTTGAGGACGCTCAACCATGTACCTGCTGAGTTTTTCACAAGCTGTCACCCCAATCTTCCTTGGTTTGCTTCCATGGTGTTTTCGCACGATACCTCCCCCCACAAACAGGTTTCCCACCGCAGCTTTCAGCCGCTTGTGCAGTGCGAGTGAAACAATGTTTAACACTTCAAATCACCGGACCCATTCGCCTTTCCGTTCCCTCACCTTCCTTCTCAACGTGGGAATCGAGATAACTGAATACAATTGTCAGAGTGTGTTTCGCTCAGCCGTCCCACTCGGGTGCTGAGTGTGATCCCCGTCACAGGGGCGCTGTCTCATCGTGCAAGCATTAACTGACCTCACCACTTTTCACAGGAACTCCACTGGAAGTCACTGCCACAACCACCGAATTAACTGCCACAACGGCCGCCGGGCCTTACCACGGGAACTGACAGTTTCGAAACGCTTGCAACGGCTAAGTATTCACATGTGCATGTGCTGCTAAGTATTCACAGGCCGGACGAATTAATCGTGCATTTTCCCCTCCCTACCCCTAGGCCTCCGTTGCTACCCCACCCGCTACTTGGGAAACAGAAGGAAATCGCACTCAACACACTTGTGTGTTGGTGCCTTTCCTTCTGTTTCTCCTAGCATATTGCTAGCTACCCGGGCGGTTTAAGACAAATGTCCCGCTCGCGCTCTACTTTCATTTAACTAAGTGGGCCTCGTAACTACCCCTATCTTTCTTTCTTGCCCTCTTAGTCTGCTTTTGTTTTGTTTGCTTTGTCTGTCTTTCCAAGGCTTTTTAGGTGGCTATCAGTTTTTCACAGCGCCAATATTGGCGCTTTCTGTACAAAGTTCCACCTTCAACGTTCTACACACTTGCGCCGGAATCGGCGGTTTGTGTGTGTCACCCCCTGTATCTAAGGGTTCCTCCTCTGTAACTAAGAGTTTTGAATGCAGGGGGATCAGGCTTCCAGTGACTAACCTGATCCAACGAAGCTGGGTCACTGGAAGGGAAGTGGTTGAGGACGCTCAACCATGTACCTGCTGAGTTTTTCACAAGCTGTCACCCCAATCTTCCTTGGTTTGCTTCCATGGTGTTTTCGCACGATACCTCCCCCACAAACAGGTTTCCCACCGCAGCTTTCAGCCGCTTGTGCAGTGCGAGTGAAACAATGTTTAACACTTCAAATCACCGGACCCATTCGCCTTTCCGTTCCCTCACCTTCCTTCTCAACGTGGGAATCGAGATAACTGAATACAATTGTCAGAGTGTGTGCAATGCAAATGCCTTCTTTGCTTCTTTTCCTGGAATGGAATCTACATGACAGTTCTTTCGATTCTCTGGTCGCGCTTGGCCTCTCGATACCATTGTGTAGCTGTGCTTTTGACGCCTTTCAACCTTAGGTCTTAGGTCTGAAGTTCAAAGGGTCCTATCAGCAAGAACTAGAATTCAATATAATTCAGTCTCATAATATGTCTGTCACACTGACAACGTCTTGATGCAGCTGAAGGGGCACAGGGCATGCTGCGTGCATCGACATAAAGTCGGGATCATGCTTGTAGGCAAAGAACCTTGTCTGACAGGCAAAAACACGCATACTGTGTTCCAATACTTGCCCAAGCTATTCACTCAACCATGGCCCGACAGTTTTGCCAAGTAGCAAAAAGTCGCCCTTTGCTGGAGTGAACTTGGTGGTGTCTTTTGTAAAGATGGTGCTCCCACCTGCAAGGGGGAAAAACACGTTGCTATACGTTGCTCAAAAGTTCCTTGCAAAGCTCAAATGACCAATCTTCGCCTTGCTCTGCCACATTGCAGTAGAGCCTCAGCACTCGCTCGCATGTCCGTCCGAATCAGTGCCACGCTTTGTCCGTGCTTTGTGCCACTCTCGTTGGCAAACAACTTCGGTCTAACGGGTCTAACTTCGGTCCAATTACATCAAAACAAACCAAACACGGCCGACTTGTGCAGTTGAGCGACAATGAGGATGCCACACGGGCTCCCAAAGTCACCGGATCGTATCCACAGCCACCATCGCAATGAGGTCGATACTCCTTGGTGGTCCCTTCTGGCTCTACCGGTCCACCGCCATGTGAACGGGTCTGCAATGGGAACAATGATCAAATATGATCAGGAACCATACCACTACAAAGTATATACAACATCCATGTTGATCTACTACTAATGGCTACATGCTATTACTGTATATCATAGCAATAACCACAAGCATAATGAACTTATTATGAATGCGCTGCGGGTCATAGCCAGGCTTGTAGTGAAGCCAATTCACAGGCTCTTGTCCTTCCGGCCTTGGCATAAAATGCAAACGAGTCTGCAAAAAGCACACACCCTGGACCCTTCCTTCAGGAGTCCTGTGTTCACCAAGTGCTGCAGGGTTGTGAGAATTATTTTGGATTTCGATTGTGAGAATCATTTTGTCATCTCAAGCCTTCAAAGCATCTTGCGGCATCCAGTCCTTCCGTTCTGACACGTTCGGACACTGCTGAATGCAGTCTTGTCAAAACCAACTTCATCATACTGACATCCGTTGCACCCGAACGTGCTGTTCACAGCGCGCCAAGCTGCCAAAGGTCGTAGCCTGATGCGCCGCGTGCGGCCTGGAGAATCAGCAAAGCTCTGGTCACACACGCTTGTATATGGCTTTCTTTACCATCAAAACCCTATCAAGTTCATAATTATTGATATATACCAGTTCTTTTTCATTGCACCATGCGGGCACCAGCACTGCGGTTTCAAATGATACTAGTGTTATTTGATGTTGTTTGGTATCCCTTGATCGCTTTTTGCAAAACAAATACACTTCGTCCTGAAAGAACCGAGTGTAGAGCTTGGCAAAGATGCTGCCAGGAGCCTGCGCAAGAAGGTTCAGAAGGTTGCACAGTGGCACTGGTCATCGGTGACAGCATAGCGGTTTTGCCAAAGGTTTTGCGACTAGATTCTGCTGGCCGGATCTGGCTGGTGGGTTTCAACTGAAGAACATGAACAGGAAAAGCTTGAACACCAAACAACATTGTCCACCCACCAGCTACATGTGTTTTGTTCTTGATATGCATTGCATTTCATGTTACGTACCATTTTCATCAATTTTCTTTGGTTTCCCAGTGCAATGTCAGTCCTCATGAGTGGGGTAGAGATTCCGGGTGAGTGTCCGACGTGACTTGGAGTGTGCTCCGCCAGTAATGAAGGCCATTGCGAGATCTTCCGTCTCTAACTCCTCGCGTAAGGGTTCATTAATGCAGTCAAAAACACTTCACAAACTCAGATTCCACATTGCTGTATCAAATGACAGTCCTGACTCAGTCCTGTACAACTCGCAGGTTTGTTTCCCTGAACATAACTTGTTTGTGGGCCATTTATGCATATGACCAAAACCAATTCAAACCGAGGAAACGAGGTGCACAGTTCCGCTCCATAGAGCAAGCCCAAGCTCTCCAGGATCCACACAAAACCAGCACCAACTCAAAGCAAATGTCGCGTGCGCACAAACAACCTCGTGCAACCTGCAACACTTTGTTGTCCCAACAAAAACTCCAAGTCTTCCACCATCCTGGCCTGTGAAGTAATGAGCTCTTTGCACTCCTCTGCCGTTGCAAAGCCTCACTTGGCGGCAAAGAGTGGGCAACACCCACACCTTTGGAACCCAGAAGTTCAGTTGATAATGGCAACGGCTCTGAAGACCCTCCAAATTAACTTGTTTTCTTGACAAAAGAGCCTTGAATATTTTCATAGAATTCAGAATCTGTTCTGGAGGACCCTTCACAGTAAGTAGTAATTAGGAGGTGACCGGCAATTGCTTCTGGATCTTCCTCCATCCGATGGAAAACTCTTTCGATATGTCAAAAGCCGCCTGCAATGCCCACCACAAATGGCTTCTCTCGCAAAACCTGAGCCTGAGACCAGCAGCATTGACAACAGTTCCGAGTTGTGAGCGGTCACGGTGCTCTGCTGATGATACAAATCCGGCAATTCCAACAAAACAATACAAAACAACTGTCCCGAGGGCACCTTGACCGAGCGATTGCGGCCGCTCCCATCGTGCAACTCTAGGGTGATGTGCCGCAGTGGGGCAGTGTCTGGCAGGTATACCTAGGCTAGCGGCTAGCTAGGCGTAGCTAGGCAACTTGCTTGGGCAAGGCATGCATAGCTTGAGAGTTGTGGACGACGCCCCCAAGCACTGCGACTTTCATGGGTATGGATGTAAACAAGTACTTCATGCAGTAGAAAATGGCCTGTCCATTGGCAGCTATCCTGAGCCAATATGTTTTAGGCCTCATTGATTTCCGCGTGTCTTATCCCACCAGACCCTAAGCAAAAGAAACACTTATTACTTACTACCCAACAATCTGCAATACTTGCTCCGTGTCTTGAATAGTTCCTGTACCCTTCCGTTGTTTGTGTTCTTTTTATCCAGCCCTTCCACCCTTCCTTATTTGAATCGGTTTGCATCATCATTCATTTAAACATTGATTCAATTGTTGCCACCTTCTTTACATCTTTTAATATCTCTTAATTGTTGCCCTCGTTCGCAAGCTGTTCCAATTCTGAAGGGGCAGTTCTGTTGGTCAGGTAGATCTAGAGTCTTTGCTTAGCTCTTTTGACGACCAGGCATCCTTGAGAAGACTGAGAACAATGAAAGGAAAGCAATATTCAAGAATCTAAGGAGCTAGAAACATGCATAGAGTTATATAATGAAATTGGCAGCACTGATTGAAACCATTTGCAGCATAAGTCGTGACTTGTAGTTATTGAACTCGTCACCTTCCTGTTTAAACAGTGGTTCTTTCCTTCTTGGCCAGATTTCCGCTTGCGGATGAAGCCTTTACAGAATGTATTGTATCTAAATATTGTCGTGTTTCTTACTACAAACAAGAGCTTCTAAACTTGTGATACTAAACCAAAGAGGAACCGTTCATCTAGACCAAGGCTCCTTTTAGGCACAAGACCTCGCTTATGTAACTCATAATGACAAAGACAGTAGATATATATATATATTCACATTTACACCACTAAAGTCTTAGCAAGGAAAATAATTGTAATTACAATTAGGCATCACATTGTATGATAGAGGAGGCTTCAAGGTACGTAGGATTTTTGAATTGTACGAAGGCATCATTTCTATGAAGGATTGCATTTGCTCGGAAACGATAAATTACATTAAACAAGAGTACCAGAGTACCCGACTGCTTGAAAAACACGCATGTGAAAGAAGCATATTCTTCCAAAAACGCATTCTCCAATTTGTTTCATGCCGAACTGAACTTGTTTTATCTGGATCGATTCAAGGAATACTTTGTTCATGACATGGGTTTACATCAAGTGCAACATCCCACGTGCTGCAAAAAGTGCATTACCACAGGCTCCCGGACTCAAGAATATTCACATGTGAAATCCGATTGGCTGAGCATCATGCACAGTGGCGCCAATGTTGGAGGGAGGTCCAAAGCAGCTGGAACCACAACGCCGTCAGTGCCTGTTGTTGGCTTCCCGTTGGGAATGCTCTAAGTGCGACAAATGCCCTCTCAGGAATGAACAACACAGCCTGTAGGATCTTGTATGGTAGTCTCGTAGCCTTTTCAAAGGAACAAGTGTGTCAAACAAAGCAACTGACTTGTATACAGCAAAGGACAGCAACTCCTCCTGAGTAAAAACATTGAACTCATGAGAGAAGAGTTGCGAAAAAAAACAATCAAACATCGTGATACCAGTAACACAGTCTGTGACAGTCTGTAGCATATTTCTCGCGGCATCAGAATGTGCAAGAAAATTCATGGGTTGTGCAAAATTTCTGGAGGGTAGCCTGGGTAGTGCACATCAGTATACAGTTGTGAATGCACCTCAGGAACTCATATTCTGTTGAACCCATTCGAGTTCACTTCAGAATGTAAATGTAATTCATGGATCGAAGACTCATTGCTTCGACCAAATTTGGACTCAGTGCTTCGACTCCGTCCGCAGAAATGGTGCCCGACGGATGGTCAGCGAAAGGGGTGCCGAAGCACGAAAATCGTTTTGGCGCCCGATCCTTCAACGCGCCCGTTTGTCCGATTTGCGTTATTATTACTTTTTATTGCCAAGTCACCGGAGGAAAGGATGATGTCTGTTTCAGGCACTCCATGAAGGACTGGCAAGGTGGGCGAATGCAGACACACACACACACACACGCACACACTTGAGATTGAAAGTGCAATGAATGCTGCCTGAGAGCATAGATTCCCAGCCCAAACCAGGCAAACCAAAACTATGCAGCGTTGTGTGGCATAGGTCATATTAATCACACCAAATGTTCATCGTGCAAATACCTTTGGCTTTATGTCCAACAAATGCAATAGAACTAAAATTGTACGACGTACTGCAAAACTCCTGCTCTGTACTCGCAGGTGTTACCTGCTCCTCATGAGAACGATCTCCACACTTCTTGGCAAATTCGCTGAGGATGATCTTCAGCTCATCCTAACAGCCGATGGTTGTGCTGTGCTGCCGAAACGTCTGCCTCATCGTCAAACATGGGTTTCAGCAAGAGTACAGAAGAACTGTAGGCATGGCAGGAGTAGCCAGTGGCACCTCAGAGCACCTCACGGTGCCCGGTGCCCGCCGTCCTGATCCCAAATCGCCACATCTGGCTTGGCATCTTTGCCCTTGGAAGTGTCAGCAAGCTACCAGTGCTGTTGAAAGCAGTCACCAGAGTCTTCACTTCTAGAAGAATCGTCCAAAGCTTCCACTTGCAATCCATATATTAAGAGACACTGCGTTAAATTGCAAGTGTGACTTATATAAGACCTCCCGCCTCCCGCTAACACTTTGCTTATGATTCTTCCCTAATCTTTTCAACTTGTTGGCATCCTGATGAAGATTGGCTCAGGTCTTCTTGCAGGTAAAGGACGCTGCTTGACTCCGAAATCATTACCTTAGAATTCAGCAATCTCTGAAGTAAGCCCGGAGACCGCTGAGGAGTGACCTCTAACTCCAACGAAAAATACTAGCGGCCTACCACTCAAAGGAACTTTGTAAGGCTGCTGAAGGACACGTGACCGATTAATTTGCACCTACAGCCTACAATCATACAATACATGACTCCAACTGAAACCATTCTTCTCACACGATTGATCAGCATTGACAAGGACCTCGCTATGCATGTTTTGCCAAATGCTGGATTTCAATAATTACAATACATTACAATACCCCAATGATCTGCAACTTCTAAGATACTACGAAGAGCTCTGAAGGATATCTGAAAAGTGCCGTCTTGGACCTGAAGGATTTGACCCATGGAATGGCTGCAAATCATGGCGAAATTGAGGGACCGCCGAAAAGAGTCCTCTGAGTCCTTGACCCGAGTTGGATATGTACTGTAGCAAATATTGACCCAAGAGCACCCAAACTTGCGCCACGCGCAACGAACCCGCATCCAACTGGCCAACCAGAAGAGTATTGCCAGGCCGAAACCACTGCCTGGTAGATTGATAGCAACCCCAAAATGTGATTTTCTTCCCATGTAAATCTTTGGAAAAAAGCATTCGTGGTTGGATCCTGTTGTACAAAAACCATCCACTTTTCCGCCCATCCAATGGTGGAGAGGTTGCGACATTAGCTGCACTGAGGTTCCGACACTGGCTGTCTAGTGTGCTGGGCAACCGCCAGGAAGCTTTGCCCGGGACTGCAAAAGACTACGCAGCAACGAACCAATTAAATGAGATCTTGGCGGCCAAGAGCCTAGGAAAAATATTGGACGATATAATGACAAATGTTCAGGTATCGTCATCTCTTTGGTGTTCTGGGAATAGAAAGCATGGCAAACCAAAAAATAAATCACCCTGCTATCATGCCCTTCTTCAAGGATGTTTTAGTGACTTCTTAAGGTGATAAACATGACTTTCAAGTGACAAGAAACCTTGGCTTCCCAACAACCATCACCACGGGTCTGAACTCTGAACATTGATCGGAACAAACCGGAGATCTCTGAGGCGAGCGCTGCCCAGTGATCCGCACAAAGGATTTGGATCCCCTCAGCATCCGTGATCCACATCACAGTCAGGCTACAGCCAGTTCACCTGATAGAGGCCCCCTTTGAACATCCTAAACTGGATGGCTGTAACCCCACTAAACATCACTAAACCAATGGGCATCTATAGAGAGGATAAGTGGGATATATAAACGATTGGAACAGACTCGCGTGAATTTGTCGTAGCAGAATATTGATCCAAATAAGATGCAGGTTGCACTGACTTCAGTGTGAAGAAAACATAAGCCATCCATTTGGGTGTTTTGGTCGTAGCTCCAGCACAGCTGACACGATCAATGCCCAATCGACCTTTTTGGATCTTTTTGGCAAAGTGGCACATCTGTGATTAAGGTGGTGTCGTGCACCGCAGTATCACTTGCAAGATCGCTGGCATCAGCGGCGTAAGCCTCAGAAAAGAAGTACTTAAGTGCAGCATGGAAGGCATGTGTAGAAAAGGATTGTCTGAACTTCCAGCTGTGGCTGTAGGCCGTGACTGCATGTGTTTTTATCGTGTCCCCTTTGCCCGACAACAAGAAAACCCGACGAGATTCTGCCCGCCAGCTATGGGCTGAGCCATGCAACCCAGTGGAGCTCCACCGGAATGGGCATGTTGTTCAAAACAACCATCCTCAGGCTTCACTGCTGGGTGGAAACGGCAAACTGTATCTTGGGATATCTTGGTTCTATTTGTGTGGAATCTGCTGAAAACCTCAAAGGGATTGGAGTGTGTGAGACATGTTCCACATAAAGCAAACAAACTGGCATTGAAAAGGAATGACACCAAGGTGACAGCTGATAAAGCTTGAGGGACAATCTCTGTTCGGTCGAGTTTCTCATCCGGAGGTAAGCTTCCGCCATAGCCATCGTCGTCCAAGTTGTGGATATGCGACTTAGAGTCTTTGAAGTCGCCACGTCCTGCCACCTCGAAGGTGGTTGGTTGGAGGTACTCTTGCCAAGTCGGGTGAAAGAAGAGAACATGCACACATTAACTATGAGATGCACACGTTGATTTACTTTGATAGACTTAAAATTCACAAACATTAAAGACGTTGTTTCATCATGTGTCATCTGCTGAAAAGCTGTTCAATTCAGCTCGATACAGTATGCCTTTAATCACTGAACTGCCATGGAATTCTACCATGTCCCGTGCCGTTCCCCAAGTTTGCTCCGATCCGAGGGTCTCTAGGCATCAATCTGTGCGGTGAGAAGGCGTTCATGTACTTGTCTGCAGGGAGTCGTCACGTGCAGTCTTCGAGTGTTTCATCAATCTGAAAACTCCAAGAAGGCGACTTGCCGAAACAAACATCACATTACTCAGTTGTCCTGGCCAAACGAAAACGTTCGCAAAGAATGGGCTGTGTGGGAGAGGAGAGTCACAAACTGTGCCTGCAAAGAACGGGGGAATGCCCCGGCTCTTGTTGAGGAAGTCGTGGCAGCATTTGATGTAGCCGGAGTCCCTGAAAAGAGGATCCCGCTCTAGCAACAAAACCGGCGCATGGAGTATATATTATTTTTGTTTTCTTGTTTTAGGTCCTGGATCCGATTGTTTCTCTTGTCGTGTTGTTGTCCTTTTATCGTTGTATGTGCATGTATTTATCGCCTCTTTTACACTCCTTCCAATTCTACAGTGAGTCAAGCAAGTTCTGGATTCTCGACAAAAAATGACATGCGAAGGCTTCGAAGGCACCATTTCAATTCCTTGGCACGTTTTGTGCTTGCTCTGTTTGCCCTTGGCACTTGTTTCACCTGTTCTTGTTGAGGAACGGCTCCGGCAAAATGAGCGGAAAAGCTCGGTCGGGTGCGAGCCTTTCCCGGCAGTGCGAGTACATTTCTCCAACCTCAAAGCCAAGCACTGCAAAGGGAGACATGAGAAATGCCCTTGTTATTAGTAGCGATGCACTTGTTACTAGTAGCTTCTTGTACAGTAATTGATACTGAGATTAAGCTTGCAACAAGCAGCAAACGCAGATCTGATGACTGTACACTATATAAAATATGCATTATGCAGGAAGGTTCCAACAGCGTGCGCTCCCAGATGCTTGCTTTAAACATTTCAACATGTAAACACCATTGAACTACACCCAACTTGGGGGAACTCTGAGCCACGCGACCAAGCTGTGAAGCTGATCTGCAGTGACCAGCTCCGCAGTGAGGGCAGCAGCACCCGGAGACAACTTCACCTAGGCTGCAGATTTGTGATCTATCATGAGCTATCACGGTCTATCAAGTCTCTTGAGTCTTCGAAAGCTCTTAGCATCCTGTTGGCCAAGCTGGAAACATCAGCAAGGAGAAGAATATATCGCTTGACGAGTCGTTTTGGGGACTGAGGTAGCCGGTAGCCTCTGAAACAGCAATAAACTGGGGTTATGAATGCCACACCACTGGTGTTGACAGCACAAAGGCTTCTTGCACAGACCGATGCATATGGGACTATTTTGTGATCATGCAGTGACTTCTGCAGGGGGAAACCACCAATGAAATATACGTATAATATATATATATTATATATATTATAGTTATATGTATAGCATGATATAGCGACTGTGTTTACAAGGGATTCTTCATGGTCAGCATGATGCGCTAACATGCACTCACAAGGTTGATGCACCAAGCTGCCAAGTCATAGGCCCCTCCGCTATGGGTCACTGGCTTGGAACCTGAGACATGGGCACTCTGCAAGGGCTTCGTTCGAAGCATGTTCATCTAGCTGGGTGTGGTATGACAATGTCACAATGTCGCAAGACATCAAGGAAGAAGCAACAGTAGTAAAACTTCGCTCTGCAATCAACCCCTCGAAATCGATTCACCTAGCAACCCTCAAACTGCTTTGTCTTCGAGTCCAAGATTCTGAGAGTGCCAGCTTGGAATCGAAAGCTGTGTCCTGAGATTCTTCTGCAGCCCCATTTGGACAACATGGATCATGCCGAACAAATTCAGTGGCCAATGATTCATTTAAAAAAGCGTTTGACTCAATCACAGGAGCCTGCATAGGTATTGATGATGAAGCTGCTTGCTTCCTCACCCGCCGGCTCCAGCTCGCCGCTTGGATGGCTCTTGGCATCACCCCCTGGGGCTGCAAAGAAAGAGCACGAAGCGGAGTCAATGGACTGCTGCACTAGACGAAGCCAGTCGATGAACTAAAGAACCAACCTTTATACTAACTCGATTGACAGCAGCTTACCTTAGGCGCAGGCTTGAACTGATGATTCGACCAAAAAGCCAAAAGCTTTGGTTGATTTTATGGGAGGCGAGTCACTTAATTGTCAAAATCATGCAATATATTATATATATAATTAACAAGCAAACAGCCACAATGACCGGCGTCCTGGTAACCAATGAACCTGCACCGTCTCTGGTACTTTGCTCAGGATGTGCAGCTCCTGTCAGTCCAGTTCAGTGCTCAAACAATGCAAGCATCCGCGCATGGAAGATCATGGAAGGCCATGGAAGGCCCACAAGGCATCACAGGGCAGTAGGCTATCTCATTGCAGTAAGCAGGAGACTTCTGAATGGGCGAGGGGCCCAATAAGAGTTGATCCCATACTATTAGCATCTGTTTACTATGCTGCCGTCTTTCCCGGGAGACCCAACCTGGGCGGCACAAACCGCCAGCAACACAAAGCGTAGCATGGCCCGCAGCTGACCGATCCCCTAAGTGCCTTCTGCTGATTACTGTTGCCAACACCCAACAAATAACAAACAGCAAGTGCTCTTGAATGGATGGGGCAATAACTAGGGGGTCAAGCTATGTTGAACACTATGATCCTCGGTCTTCTTCATAAAATTGACTTTTGACCATTTGACCCCAGAAAAGGAGAAACACCTGCAAGAGATTGGACAGTGGAGCGACCTGGAAGACTGAGCCAGCTTCATATCAGGATCCAGACTAATAGCAGGATATTGAGACAAGAAAGCTGCCATTTGTTGAGCTACGCTCCAAACCAAGCCAGTTTTTCCAAACGCCAGGAATGATACATTCCTGTGGCACGCGCAAAAGCTTTTCCCAGCGTCCGCAGGTGAGGAAGACGGACTTCGCGTTGAGCACTTCTTTGGCCCATGAGAGATCTGGTCGATGCTTATCTGCAGTATTTCCGCTGTTCCTGCATTAGCATGGCAGGAAATCCACTTCGATGACCTGGTCAGCCTCTTCATCCTCGATCTTTGGCGGTGGAGCCTTGAAGACAAACCGGATCAAAGCGGTCAGCCGGGTCAAGGTCTAAAAATACTTGAAACGATTGAACATCACACACTGTGACATCACCCTCTGGCACGAGTGCATGGAACAAAGTGACTCAACACACGTTTGCATCGCCCGATCAGGGAGCACTGTGTTCCTGGAAGGGGCGAGACTGGACCTGCAACATGTGACCTGCACACTCTGCCGCGGTGACTGGGGCGAGAGCAGGATCCACAAACTGGTTCCATAGGATGCCCTCGTTTCGATCCTGTGAGGCCACAAAACCATCACCATCATCACCCAAGCATACCCAAGGGATTCAAAGGGTCGACGACTACAGGAATTGCCGGGTGAACAATGTTCATATATGTTCAAGATGTTCTCATTGGAAGAAACAAACACTGCTCATTTTTGTGCCTCCTCCACATACGGCGCGAAGATGTACCGATACATCCGGTAGATGTCATAGGCGTTGTCCTGCTGGCGAAAAGCCCACCAGGATCCAAATGCAGGAGACTTGCGGGGTACACACATCAACTATCAAAGAACGTAGGCAGTGGAGAATGGTGCAGAGCATGAATGAATGTGAATGAATCAGTTCATCACGAATTGAGTTCACGTGAGATCTTGAAGTCAATATAAGCCAATGGCGCATGAGATCTTGATGAAATACGGTGAAGGTAGTGCTGGAATTTCGAAGAGGTTCTTGGTTGTTGGATGCTTGAGGACCTCAAGACCATGATTCGTACAAAGCATTCAATACTTGCGGGACCCACAGCCTATTTTGGTCATCGAACAAGTAAACATGCAGTGATTGCACTCTCCTCTTTTTGAGACCTACAATCATTCCATTGATTTCGGGAGTCATGAATTCCAGCAGGAATAGTGACTTGGATTACCTCATGATCAATGCAGGACTCTGTGACCACGAATCGATATTTAAATTTAGTAAAAGGCTGCAGCAAATGATGGAAGGACATGAACTGAGCCACAAACAGGTTTCACAGTTTTTCTGACCATAATATTGTGCCTGTTAATACCGTCTCTCAGGGAAGCCTCCTGGATAGATTACTCGGGTGTCTTCCCCACAGTCACCGAGGGCTGCACCCGCTCGAAGGCCGAGGGCAGAGGGGTTGGCAGCCAAACGCTCGATGAGTTGCGCATGTAACGCCTCGATGAGTTCACCCAACATCTTCTTTGGGTGATCTTAGACTTGGTGTGGTAGAACCCAAGGTCCACAAAGTCCCAATGGTTTTCTTGGGAAGGAAGAGTCAGAAGTGATGAGACACTCTTTGCCAAATCGTGATCAAGCCTGCATGCATTCGGTGAATAGGTAAAATTATGACATTGAGCATTGGAAAACTTCGACTGAGGCTTGCAGTTGCTTGCGCGATTGCAACGTAGAAGCTAGAACCTTCTGGGCTTCCTGAGCTTCTGGCATGCCGCTTCCTTGGTCCCCCTGTATCATTCCAAACATCACTGGAGTGTTCACAATGAAGACCTGGGGGAAGGCTGCCGAACATGATGCTGAACACGACACACATGGTTGTGGTCTTTGCCCCGGGGTGCTACATATCAGGATTCAAGACCTCATTCCTATGCTATCGCATTGTCCAAAGCTCCAAAGAGCACCACGGAAGGCAAAACTATGTTGACCTCATTCCTATGAAGCTATCACAGTTGAGAAAAATGCTTGTCCAATCACCAACGATGTTGCCACTTTGCTTGGTGATGGCTTACAACAACAAGAGCCATCACCAGTGGCTCGATTGGCTTGAGAGCGCAGCAGAGAACTCGGGCAAACCAGACCGAAGGCCACCTGGAGGGCTCTGGGACTGAGGTCCCGCCCCGCCGATGCCGTTGCCTAAAACCAACGAATCCTTTTTGCAGCATGTCCTAACATTCTGCCCACAGTTGACGAGACTCTCCTACGTATTTTTCAGTGTAAGGTTCAAAAACTGTTCATCCTAAAAAGCCCCCCACTGACTTGTTCTTAGTCTGTGGTCACGAAGAAAAACTTCCGCTCACCTTCTAGCCCTTGAAGTCCTTGTGCCACAGTGAAGTATGGCATAGGCCTGGCTGGGCAACGCAAGTACAATGAACACGTCCAAATACGCCGTCTCCAAAGCTTTGTTGTTGTTGCATTCTTCTCTTTAATAACAATGATCTTTGGCCAATGTTCCCAAACCGTTGCACATTATAAATATGCTGCCAAAAGTGCTGATTAAATTTGACGGGATGGCCCCATCATGACTCGGTTCCGCATAACGTCGTCCATAGTGGCTGCCATCCCAACCTCAACCAAACACTACACCCTCTGTGGACTGCGATGGACTGCAGCTGTATGAAACTTGACTTGAAAAGTGTTTAGATTGCAAAGGATGCAAAGGCACAGCAGGAAATCTGAACTTCAAGTGGATGGAATCGCCTACCTAAAAGAGCCAAAAAGGGCTTTGAGGGACTGTGAGACATCCTCTTTCAATATCTTTCACTGCCTTTCAGACACTTTGCTAATCTTCCAGCCTCACCCCATGCGCCCCAGTGGATGGCTGTGCATGGCTTGCCCAGGGAGACTCGATGCCTTGTGAGGCAAATCTGAGTTGAACCCCAGTCACAATGAATGTTGAACTAAACAAACGGTATAGATGTCGTCCCAAAGAATGAATTTTGAAAACTGTTTGATCTTTTGGAACCTTGTGAACAATTCCAAATCATTGCCGGCTGGCGAGAGTGCAAATGTAGCATGCATAAAAAAACATCATTTGTCTGTATAAGCCTCAAAACACAATGGATATTCATGGAAATTCAATCATTGAAGTTTGGAGGGCATGAAACTGCACCATGAAATCCAAAACGGTGCCTTGCAAGGCCATCTAAGCAGGTGTTGGATGCCGAGTAGTTCACCTCCCAAGTTCGATTTTGAGGGTTGTCCCATGAAATCAGCCACGGATTATCACACACATTCAAAACAAATGGAGCAAACAACATGCAGGACATGGGTAGTAACATGTTTTTTGACAAGCACGATGAAGAGCAGTGTGAGTTCAGGAGTGCACTTTACTTTTGCAAACAAAAGCAAGTGGCTTCTGCTGCATGTGCAATCATAAACTACACAGCTCTCATGAAAACCAATCGCATGCATTCACAACACTTCACTCCCTTCTCAAAAGCCTCGATGTCTCACTAAACGTTTGGATCAACAAATGTTGCTATCTTCCGATGTGCCTGACCCATGTTGCCTTGGCACACTTGGCTGCAATTGGCAGTCGATTGCCACAAACAAACATGCGAACAATCTAGCTGTGTTTCTTTTGAACGCCGGGCTCAAAGTTGGACATCCAAGTGACTTGAATCACGATCTCCACGCTCCAATTTGATCTCCATAATATCAAAACACGATTGAATGGATCACACTGGTCATCAAGTTGTACCTTCCCTTGTGTGGTGGTGAGTGTTGAGCAAGATTGAGCAGCATTGATCGCGACGACCATCAATGGATATGTTCCAAAAAAAGCCCAAAGTGTCACTAATCCGCCGACCCCGCTTACTGAGCAGGCTATAGGGTGAGTGGGGTCGCGTGGTCGATGGTTTCATCCTTACCCATCTGGAGGCTGGCTGGTGTTGTGCCTGAACGGCCCAAAGCCCACGAGAACCCGCCATGAGTTTGCCATCGAATCGGCCGTCTTCGTTCTTTACTTAATGGGTCGGAAGGGCACCCTCCCGACACACGCCCCAAATGATGCCCGTTCCGAGCTCGATTCCTCTCTGCGGAGCTGCCTCCCTCTAGCGACACCCCAGCGGAAAACAAGTAGGAGCAAGAACGCTACTAGGGGCTCCTGGCACCGCTACTAGGATC